CTCATCAATAAGAAATGTAATTTAGACACACATATATATACGTAGATGATAGAATGATGGCAAACATCAATATGACCTACAGCCTAAAAGTATTTTTTGTGACAAGGCAGTAACAGTAAAAAAAAAAAAAAGCTTCTTGACCTTTACTGAGTTATCAAATCAAAGATCAACTTGCTGTGAATGTCTCCACCTTTTTCCATCTAAAGCAGCAAACTGGTCATAAAAGAATAACAATTGAACATACCAGAAGGCAGCGAGGACGGTAAAGACCCGGTGAAGTTCATGTCGGAGCTGCTGCTGCAGGTGATGGGTCCCGATGTCTTCCCTGCGCCACCTGAGCTGGAGAGAGCCCACCGGTCCACAACCTTCAGATCTGGCCAAGGAAAATTCCCTCGCACGTTCCTTGTTTGTTTCCACCTGATTTACCCCACCCGACTACGTGTGATACACGGGGACGACGTGCTCACCTTTGATTCACCTGATGAAGCCCAGAAGTTTTACGATCAGAGGATTGATAAAGAGTAAAATACAAATACGTTTGCCTTGTTCTAGCTTGGAGATGGCAAATTACATGTAAACTGACTTGAAAACGTGAATTATTGCCTTTAAAATCATCCTGCCAACAGCCCTAGGACTCAAGGTATGGTTACTCTCACTAATGTTATTAATGGGCTATTCTTTGTAAAGAAAGTTGTTGTTTTTTTGCCCTGTATTGTTATTATTATTGTATCTTGAAGGTGTTGAGCTTGTTATATTCTGTGAATCACTGGGAGCCTTCTTGGCTAGAAGTATATCAAGAGGATGTACTACCAGAAATCTTTAGAAATAGTGTTCAGCCTGCAGCTTGCCTCAGAGAGGAACAATATAGGTTTAGTGGTAGTTTTGTTTGTGAGTGGGATAGGGTTATGGGATGGTACACCCCTAGATCTTTGCAGCTTGTATCTGCTTTTGCTCTCGTTAGAGAGGTCACCCATGGAGCTGTACACTTTGTTGCAATGATTTTTGATTAAAAAAATGACTCTACCTTTTTTGATTAAACATGGAAAAATAACTAATGTGAGAAAGGCTGATGTGCGTTTCATTAGCTGGAATGTAAAAGTCCTAAATGGGCCTGTAAAAAGAGCTAGAATATTCAATCATCTGAAATACTTAAAATGTGAAACTTTATTTCTTCAAGAAAATCGTTTATTGTTAAAAGATCAAGTCAGACTTAGAAAAGCTTGGGTGAGGCATGTGTTCCACTCAAATTTAAATTTAAAAACACATGGGACAGCTATACTGATACACAAAATAATTCAGTTCAGTGCTACCACTGTTATTTCGGATCCACAGGGACGCTTTGTCATTGTATCAGGGCTCCTTTTCCACAAACCTGCCTACGTAGACACCCCCATCTACATTCATCTGTGTAGTTGGTGTGATTTTTCATTCGTTCCACTTAAAATAAATCTTAGTGCTTATATGGGATGTTGATGTAGGGTACAGTATATCAGTAAATAACTTAACTACGCTGAGGAAAAAAATCTCTGGTTGCATGTGCATTTGTCTCCACCTTGTGGTTTTTGCACATCTGTCACTCTCGATATTTCAAAATCAATAAAATCAGAGCAGATGTGCACATGAAAACTAGTCCTGGTTTTTCAGTAAGAATCACTTTAATTTTTAGGAAAGCAATTTACATATACAGATATTGGCACAAAAATATAAAATCTGTCATAAATCCTGTATTACATGTATTTTGTAACTTGTGGTGGGAAAAATCCCATACCCGCTTTGCGCGAGTCTTTTACTGCTGAAATAAAGAATCCCGAAAAAAACCAGAGGTTGCCTTTTGAGTATTTATTCTTTGCACAG